CAAACAAACAAACAAACAATTTAACCCTATAGCGTAAATGGAGTTTCTAGCTTAGTTTTTTAACTTAAAACTTCATTGTATTTTTGCATTTATGTCGAAACTACTAAGGATGTGGTTGCGGACCAGAGAAAAAGCAACCGGTCAACAGCACCCACCATCTACGCTATTGGATTAACTGTTGTTCTTATAATGCACCCAAAGTTGAAAATGCGGGAAACATCTAGAGGACCAACCCGCACCCAAAGCTTCATTAAATATGTTATTAGTTGAATATATTAAGCAGACAGTGTTCAGTATAACGTAAACTACAGTCAATTAAACGTTTAAAACTGCTTTAAAAAGCTACGATCCAAAGTTCTTTTACCCAGTTTCTTAATTCACAACACGAATAATTTGTAATAATTAGTATACGTTAATCCTATATGATGACACAACAACATAATTTTATTTCACGTGCTACTAAGTAGTTAAGTAGATGAGGAATACTTTTAAAACAGTAAGAAAAAAAAGAAGAACATTTTATTTGCTGATAAGATTAACAATCCGGGTTCTTATGTGGTTACATCACATTGAGAGGCTTAGCTTTATTCACCTTCTTAGGCCGGTAAACTAATCACATAAGCTTATTTCTTTTAGCATGAAATCCACGCGCTCTTCACGGTGATTATGGATAATTTATGGTTTCAATTAGCGCAACTGTGAAAATGTGTAGGCTTACAACCACTTCCTTTGATTTGCCTTCAACATGTACAAGCTCAGGTAAAACCCGGCGCTATGCTTCTCGTATATTTTCCTAATAGACCCTGTAAAACAAAACTATTAATCTAGTATATATATCGAGGTCAAAACTAAGCCCACAGGTACCTATGATCCTATATCGGATTTCTTTATGTTTTACTGTGTGTGTGTGTGTGTGTATGCACACACACACACACACACACACAACACATATGGTAAATACAGCACTTGGAATTTAAAAACAATTAAATGTTAATATAAGATAGAAGATCAATATCCATTGACTATAATGAAGTCGAGGATCATGGGAAGTTTATCTGAGAAATCAATAACTACGCAGACAAACCTTTTCTATAAGTAAACAGACAAACCTTTTCTGCTTCTGATACGAATCCCTTGTAACTCGATTACACATATTGTTTGTTTGTTTGTTTTTGAATTTCGCGCAAAGCTACACGAGGGCTATCTGCACTAGCCGTCCCTAATTTAGCAGTGTAAGACTAGAGGGAAGGCAGCTAGTCATCACCACCCACCGCCAACTCTTGGGCTACTCTTTTACCAACGAATAGTGGGATTGACCGTCATATTATAACGCCCCCACGGCTGAAAGGGCGAGCATGTTTGGTGTGACGGGGATTCGAACCCGCGACCCGCAGATTGCGAGTCGAGTGCCCTAACCACCTGGCCATGCCGGGCCTTACACATATTGTAAATTGTGTTTACGTTATTCACGCTATATCGCTCCATCTAACCAAACTAATACCGACTGAGTACATCAAAGATTTCTTGTTTAAGAGGAGATTCCATTAAGGATAACTTTAAGCTATTAGAATTACTACAAAATAAATAATTAAAATATATTGAAGGATAAAAGTTGGATATAAAAATAACTTTTTCTGAAGTTTTTGAAATTATTTATTAGTTTATCATTTTCCGCGAAAAACGTTTATTCCTCGAATATTATCCCCCCCTATTCATATTACGTGAATCTCAACGTTTCATTTAAAATTAAAACTACGTTCTTTATTGTATGCTAAACAAAAAGTACCATATCTTAAATCCATTGTTTTTTTTTTATTAAAGTTAATAAAATTGTTTCAAACTGAGAGCAAAGCAAATTCAAACATTACCTGAGATTACTTTATAATAAAGAGAGAAAGCAAACGGTTTGTGATCTCGATCCTGAGGATTCAAGTTTGTAAAATGGAGTTCATTTGATGACGAAATAACCTCGACTTTGGAAGCCTTTTCCGTTGACTTACTGCTAGTACACATTTCCTCCACACGGTGTCGTTCTTCATCGATACCATCTATTGCCAATCTATTTGTACAGATACTTTCCTCCCACATCAGTTTATCGAAAACAACACGTATTCTGAATTGCAGAGGAGCTAGCAGACGTTGAGTGTAGGTAACTCCTTCTGGTGGAATGTGTGGAAAGTTGATACTTGTGAGAAATCCCGAATCTTCTTCATCCAACAATATGACGGTTTCGAGAGGTTCTCCATTCCCTTAGATAGTAAACATTGTGAAATATTACACAAATGATTCAGTTAACTGGTGATTAAGGACTTCAAATAAACCAAAGAATGCTAGATTCGGTTAACTAGTGATTAAGGCCTACAAAAAAACAATAAAACAAAGAATGCTAGATTCGGTTAATTGACGATTAAGGGCTACAAAAAAACAATAAAACAAAGAATGCTAGATTC